CCCGGACGGCGGCGGCGAAGGGGCGGCCGAGCCCCCCCGGGAGTTACGCTGTAGCGACTGCATCGTGTGGAACCGGCAGCAGACGTGGCTGTGCGTGGTACCTCTGTTCATCGGCTTCATCGGCCTGGGGCTCAGCCTCATGCTTCTCAAATGGATCGTGGTGGGCTCCGTCAAGGAGTACGTGCCCACCGACCTGGTGGACTCCAAGGGGATGGGCCAGGACCCCTTCTTTCTCTCTAAGCCCAGCTCTTTCCCCAAGGCCATGGAGACCACCACCGCGACCACTTCCACCACGTCCCCCGCTACCCCCTCCGCCGGCGGCACCGCCTCTTCCAGGACGCCCAACCGGATTAGCACCCGCCTGACCACCATCACGCGGGCTCCCACTCGCTTCCCCGGGCACCGGGTTCCTATCCGGGCCAGCCCGCGCTCCACCACAGCACGGAACACTGCGGCCCCCTCGACGGTCCTGTCCACCACGGCCCCTTTCTTCAGTAGCAGCACGCTGGGCTCCAGACCCCCGGTGCCAGGAGCCCCCAGTACCCAGGCAATGCCCTCCTGGCCCACTGCGGCATACGCTACCTCCTCCTACCTTCATGATTCTACTCCCTCCTGGACCCTGTCTCCTTTTCAGGATGCTGCCTCCTCCTCTTCTTCTTTCTCCTCTTCTTCCTCCTCTACCACCACTACTCCAGAAACTAGCACCAGCCCCAAATTTCGTAAGTAAACATTGTCTCAACTATGATTTACTACTGAGTTTCCTTTCTGTCTTCCTGCTGTCTTTTCCCCCTCGCCGCCAGCCTTCTAGCAAGCCCCTTCCCCTCATCCCAGGTTTGGGGCAGAGTGAGAGCCAGTTAAAACGGGGTGTGTGGGGGGGAGGTGCCAGCCTGTTCTGGGTCTGTGTGTGGGGGTTGGAGCTGGTAGGAAGGGGGGAGAGATTGTCAAGCTCCAGGGGCCCTACTTCAGTGGGTCCCAAATGAGAACAGGGCTCCCAACTCCCTTCAAAGGGTTAACGCGAGTGAGCTCCCTCCTCACTGCAGACCTGCTGGCGAGCTCCTGGATCCCGTTCCAGTAGTGGGCTGGAGAGGGAGGGAGGGCTTTCCCCGCCCCCCGGTAGGAAGGAAAGGCAGAAAAACACATGAAAATTGACCGACGATGGACCATAAAAGGAAGTTATGTCCATGTGTGGGATGACGATTTGGTAGAGATATGGTAGAATGTTGCTGGAGGCGCTTCTAGTAGCCCTGACCCGGGCGGGGACCAGGAAGGGTTAATTAGAAGCTACTGGGAGAGGCAGGGAAAGCAGGCGATCCACCGCAAAAGGCTAAACTCACCAGCCCCCAGCCTGTCCCTTGCCATTCCGAGGTGTAGAAATTGATTCCGTGGCCGCTGAGAGTGAGTTAACTAGGAGGAAATGTGAAGGGAGCCCTGCAGAGTTGCCACCTCTAGGGTCCTGAGGAAGGAGGAGTTTTTTCAGCTATTCCAAGCCTTTGCTTTTGTCCTTTCCCAAAGGTGGGGTGTGAACCTTATCTCCTCTCCCTCTGTGCCTGAAAAATATAGGCGGGTTGGGACAGAGTTTTCTGCACTCAAGGGTGAGAGTATTCAACCCTTTTGAAACATGTCACCCTTAGAATGTTGCATCTTCAACCTGGGCTCAATTGGTGCCTGTATTGGTCAGTTTGCTCAACACACAGGATAGCTTCCTATTTATTTGTAAAGGAAGTGCATATTTTATCTGTTATTTGTATGAGTGTTTTAGGTGACTGACCTTCCACCCCCCACCTTGTTCTTTTTCTAAGGAAATCTCAGGAACCTTCTTAATCTGATCTGATCAGGATATGGAAACAGTTTTGTGCAACCTGTGAAGGTTATTTAGGACAAAACCCGGACTGCCAATTCGAGTTCTGTGCAAGGCTATTTTGCAAAAACTGTCTGTTTATGCTGTCTTTATATTGTATTTATGTTTTGAGGCACAGCATCTGGAGGAAAGGAATAGTGTTAATCATTAACTCTCCAGTGTTGGTGGGAATAGGCACCCGTTTGCTTTCAGTCATCTGGTAATTGCTCATTTCCCTGACCTGTGATCTTACCCTGGGTGTTATTTAACCCTTGAAACTTTTTTTTTAAAAGGGTTTAGTGTATAAGTATAAATACACTATTTGTAAGTACAGATACACTAAGTAAGTAGTGCATTTGTAAGGTCCAGAAGAGGGAAAGGAAAAAGCCCCTACTCTGCTATGGAAAAAAATAGACTAGAAGATAGATACATCGGGAGACAGGAAGGAGAGGGGAGGGAAGGAATCTGCCACATACCAGAATGGCAGTAGCGCCAGTAACTTGCTGCTTGTCTCTCCTTTGGCTGAAGCAGTCATTTTTGAGAACACATTTTCTCAGGAGGTGTTTAGAACCTCCTCTTGACAAATCTAGCTTGAGTTTTTTGGAAGAATAAAGGATTTGTGAGTGTATTTGCTAGCATATTCAATGGTTTGAAAATATGTCTATCTTGAAGACCTCAGATTTTTTAAATCTCTTTTGATGCAGTTGGTATGAATAATGGAGCGTGGTATACTTCTGAACCTTGTATGTGTGTGTGGTGGTGAGGGGGAACTGCACATGGTGGGGGCATTTCATGTTTTTTTCTCAATTGATTTCCTTGGGTTCCATTCCGGAGGTCTTTAAAGAAAAGCCCAAGGTAATTATTTCTACCCCTCCGTGCTCTCTTCCTACATTCTGTAGAAGGGAATGGCAGCCTGTTTAATAAGTAATGATTATTGATAGGGCTCTCAGCCCCAAGGAAAAGAGGGGAAAAGAATCTGTAAATGGTGTCAGTGTTCACATAGCTATATAAGCAGTATTTGTTTTATTTGTATCTGAGGTCTAGTTCTTTCTCTTTTGAAACCTGTACGAGAAGTTGAATTTAGATACATAATGCAAGTGTTCAAATTCCAGCAGAAATTGACCTGGTTTGCATACATCAACAAGGGAAATTTTAATGAAAGGTAGATTAAGTAATTTCCATAAAAGGTGAGTTTAAATAGGTAAGTTTATGGTAATTTAAAGATAAAGAGTAGTTTAGTTATTTTGTTTTCTTCCAAGATGCAGGATAATTAACAAAAGGAAATTAAGATTTCATTTGAAGGATTATCATCACTGCTATTGTAGACTGAGAATGGCCTGGATCTCTGGCATTCATATTTTTCACTTGTTTTTGATTATGCCACTAAAGTTCCCATGAGAGAAATTTCATTTTCCCTGGCTCTTACCATCATACTTTAATAGGTTTTTTCCTTTCTTTTTCCTTTTAAATGAAAATCATGGATCCTGTTGTAGTACCAGAAAATGGTTAAGGATGATGCTGTTTTTTTGAGACTAACTTACAAATTCTTTAATGGCCGGGATTGTTGTTCTTGAACTGAACATTTCAAGGCTTATGGAATGAATGTCTTTGTGTTCATCTTAGATCAATCAGAAGGATCCTGTCTGTAATAGGCAGCACAGTGCTTTGGAGTGGAAGAGGCTGTTTCACTGACAATAAACACACTTGCTAATAGATAATAGGAGTTTTGCAAGCAAAAGCTATTTTTGCTGTGCGGAAGGCCTAGTTCAGAGGACTTTTTCTAATTTTTTGTAGGATTAAAGACAAAGAAGGGTTGAACTTGAAAGTTAGAAGGGGAAAGGAGAGCTTTCCTTTTTATTTTCCACTGTTAAGGCCATGTACTACACCAAAAGTTTCTTTAGTGTTACTGGGATTCTTGGGCTCCCAGTTGCCCAGTACTTGTCTTCATTTCAGACTCTAAAAACAAAAATCTTAAACATATTGCCACTAGATTATCTCACCAAAAACGTCTTTGAAGCATTTTGTATCTTAAAGTGTAAGTTAATTTTTAGGTTTTTCAAACTAAAGGGAGGTCATTACAGAGAGTGAAGAAACAGTGATTTTGATCGCATAAAATCAGCCTCCCTTTTACAGCACACTAACTTGTGTATTCACATTTGAAATATATTTTTTGAATGTTCCCATTGCAAATAGGGATTGTTTTAGATACCTGGAATTCTTTTACTAAGCTGAAAGCACTGTTTAGCAGATGATGCCAGAGTCATTGGCTAAATTCAAATACGAAACAAAAAGAGCCTCTTTTAATAGGCTAGTCTTTGGATCATATTTGGAAGGTATACGGTTAATTCCAATGGATAATATCACAAATATTGAGTAGTATATTGAGTAAAATGCATTACGAATGTTTAAACAGGACATGGAGGCAGTTTTTAATTTAATCAAGTCTAATGAAATAAAACTTTACCTAGTCTTGCCTATGGTAATTGTTAAGGACGACATTGATAAAATCAACTATTTTCCTCTTTATTCTTTTCAACATCTTTGCTCCTTAAATACGAGTACACTTGGTTGCTTTATAAGCAACCTCAGATATAATTTGTTTAAATAAAGTTACTTCTATACGTTGTGTTCTATCTACATGAGTCAAGGCCTCTAAAGGCATTCCAACATAGAAGGTACTGACCCCAATCATCTGTGGTAGCCAAAGTGAGAGGATTCAAAGTGAGAGGATTCAGAGCTCAAGATCAATATTTCTTATGAAATTCAATTGAAAGCTTTCTTTTATGAGCATATGCTGCAACCTGAGTATGTTTTGGTTTCCCTTAGCCTTAATACAGGATTATGAGACTTTTCTGCTTTAATCATTTATACTGTACAATTTTGTTCTTCAGACACTTGTGTTGCACTTCATGGTCCTAATTTAAAAAAAAAGGAGGCGAAGGGTGGGCGTAGATTGGCAAGGCTATTTTTAGGGCTCTTTTTAGCTTGGTCACACTGCATTAAGACAATGTAGTTTAAGCATTCCTCTTCAATTCTTCATGTCTGAGATAAGGGATGGGAGGTGTTGTTGCTAATTGAGAGCCCTTTTGCAAGTTTGATTTGTGAATCCAGCCACCTTTATATTTGTGCCATTTCTCAGATAGACTTTTTTTTTTTTTTTTTTTTACACACAGTGTTGATCCACAAGCTTGTGAGAAAAGTGAAAAAAATCTGTCGAAAAATGCTAGTTTGTTGCAGTTTCTCTCTGTTACTAAAAAGCCCAATTTTTCTAAATCTAGGTTGGGCCACAATAGGAGTTTTGGTGCAGTCTGAAATCAGTGCCATCCTGGGAAATTCAGAGTGCAGAGGACCAGGGTCTCTTTTCCCTCTGGAGCTACTTTCTCCTCCCTTCCTCCTTTTCATACCACAATGAGAAGGAAACTGACTTCCAACATACTTTTGTATAAATTCTTTCCTCATAATCCCTCATATCCAATGCCAAACATATCTCAATATTCTATCTGGAATGTCAAAAATGGAACATGAAAGTTGGCCCTGAAATATATAAGTGCAAGGGAAGAACCATAAATCAAAGTCTTTAAAATGTGTTTGAATTGCTTCTGAATAGAACTGAAATTCATTTTTCTTTCTTTCAGTCTGTGTTTATCTTTAGACTTGTGTGTTGGGTAAGTCACAGAGCTAGTACTGGGTTGACAAATACCACTGAGACATTTTGAGATCCTAGAAATTTTATTTATGTACACAAGCAAATGTTCCCTTTAGAACCTGTACATATTAGAAGCAGGAGGGAGGAATTTGAAGCTTTGAAATCTTACATTCAAAACATACCTAAATAGATGTTTCCTATTCATGCAATTATAAATAAAAATCGTAGAATATGTATTTGGTTTGATTTTTCATTTTCACTCCTATTTCACTGAAGACTTCACATACTCCCACCTTCCACAGTATTTTATAGCTGAATCATGGTTCTGACTGAAAG